GAGGAGGAGGAGGACGAGGAGGAGGAACATGCCGAGGAACAGGGAAGGAGGAGGAGGAGGAGGAGGAGGAGGACGGGGACGGGGACGAGGACAAGGAGGACTGAGGAGGACGAGGACGCGGAGGACGAGGAGGAGGAGGAGGAGGCGGAGGAGGAGGAGGAGGAAGAGGAAGAGGAAGAGGAGGACGAGGAATAGGGGATGAGAAGGAGGAGGAGAAGGAGAAGGAGGAGGAGGAGGACGAGGAGGAGGAGGAAGAGGAGGAGGATGAGGAGGAGGACGAGGAGGAGGACGAGAAGGAGGAAGGGAGGAGGGAGACGAGGAGAAACAGCAACAGCAGTGGTTAGCTGAACGGGCAGAGCAGGAAGACCAGCGTAAGGCGGAGGAGGGAAAAGGAAGTGGGCGACAACGATGAGGAACAAGTCGGGCCCAGAACGTTTGCCCACGCTGGGGCGAGAGCGCAGTTGTGATTGAGGGGGGCTTCGCAGCGATCCTACAATGAGGCCATCTCTGCAGGTGGAGGACCATTTTGTTGAAGAGCCGGGAACGTTCGGATAAGATTCGCACATGGGGGAAAGCGATTGGGCACCACCCCATGTGTGAACAACAAAACGCGGAGGGAGGCAGCCACGTTCCCCGTTCACCTTCTGGGGAAAGGAGATCAATATTTATACTGAGTCATGTTGGAGGATGAGGGGAGGGAAGGAAAGGAGGAGGAGGAGGAGGAGGAGGAGGAGGAGGAGGAGGAGGAGGAGGGGGGAGGATGACAAGAGTAAGTCCAAGATGCTCCAGTGATGTTGCAGTAGACCCTCCCGTCCCAAGCCCCCCCAGCAGTCCCTACAGGCCTTCCAAGTCACTGCAGGAAGCGCCCTGTTCGAAGGACCAGCGCCTGATGGGCCTACCGTCCAGGCGAGAGCTCCATTCTGAAAAGGAATTACCCTGTATCCTTCTAGCGCGTGATCAAGAAGGTAGAAGGTTAAATCATCCAGCTCAACTTGGTGCCCAACGATATCCCCGTTCAACGCCCCATCCGTGTAACTGCTGCACTACTTGACATTCCTGGTCATGCACTTCGAAGACGCTTTGAGCGAGAACACCGTTTTGATACGTTCAGATGCTACACGAGTTGAAGCTTACGGTCCTTAAGCCGAGAATGTCGCAAGCGAGATCCTCACTTTGAAAAGGAGCCTTCCTCCATTCTCGTAACTGTTACAAGCTTTTGAGACGAAAGTGCGTGGCGCGGAAGCGAGAGCCCCATGTAGAAGAGGAGTCTCCCTCCGTCCTTGTAATTATCACACGCTTTGATGACGATTGTGCGCGGCGCTACTGCGGATACCCCATTTTGAAAGGAACCGCCCGCCATCTCTGTAACTGTTGTACGCTACGACGAATTTGTGCTGCGTGAAGGCGAGAGCCACTATGAAAATCAAGTGCGCCCCATCCTTGTAGCAGTTTCGACTTTCAACACTCACGGCCGATTCTGCTGAGGAGGTCTCAGGCGACACGCCCGGCCCGCTCCTACCGACGCGTCTGTGGGCGCGATTGGGAGGAGTTACTCCAGATTTTGTAATAAAGGGAGGGGGGTCTCATTTCGGGGGGGTGTCTCTTCCAGGCTATCTTGGAGGGCCTGGGGGGTCTGGGGACGATGTTTTGGAGGGTTCTCCCACGGGGGAGGTCTGAAATGGCTTGTCTTGGAGGGTCCAGACCCCCTCCCTTTTATTACGAAATCTGGAGTACCTTTCAGGCGGAAGGGATGGAGGAGGAGAGGGGCAGCTTTCTCGGGGTGTCCTGGGTTGGTTTTCTTCGGGGTGTCTCGGTTTTGTGCCGCCCGTCTCGGGCCTGGCTTCTTCGGAGTGTCTCGGGGTTGGGCCGCTGTGCAGAGCCATGTTGGCCAGGGTCTCGGAGTGGTTCTGAGGGGCTTCCCTCGTGACCCAGCCGTGGTCGTCTTGAGCGCGCGCGGGTGGTCCAATCGCGAGTTTTGTCCTCTGGGAGTCTGCTGCTCTTCCTCCTCCTCTCTCTCCTCCTCTCCCTCCTCTCTTCCCTTCTTCTGCATGGCTGTTGCTTCGCATGGTGGAGTGTCCTTTTCCTTCAGTGGGAGGGCTGGCATGATTCATCGGCCCTGCATCGAGACCATGAAAAAAGAAGGAGGGGGGGGTGCAGGAGGAGGAGGAGGAGGAGGAGGAGGAATCAGGAGGAGGAGGAGGACGGGGGGAGGAGCAGGAGGACGGGGGGAGGAGCAGGAGGAGGAGGAAGAGGAGGAGGAGGAAGAGGAGGAGGAGGAAGAGGAGGAGGAGGAGGAGGAGGAGGGGGAGGGGAAGGGGGAGGTGGAGGAGGAGGAAACAGGAGGTTGGGGTGGGGTGGATTGGGGTAGGCGGGAGAGGGCGCCACCACCATCTTCTGGCAGACGACAATGCAAGGTGATCGCAGGTTTGATCAAGGTTTTGCCTTCGTCGTCGCCGTCGTCGTCGTGGTCGTCGTCGTCGCCGTAAAGTTTTCTGTTAGGACTTTGCTCGGCCAAACCCAGCTATCAGGTCAGCAGAAGCGTCTCGTGTGAAATTCGGTCTTCGAGGCTCTGAGCCTCGTCTCCCGGGGGGGGGCCGAAAGGCCCCGGAGGTCCAGTGTCGGCCAGCCAGGGCGCTGTAGCCAGCCCGAGTGCGCAGCCCGCACCGGCGCAGCTGCAGCCAGTGAGCCTTTTCGGCAGGTACTCAGAGCACGTCCCACTCGACAGAAGTTTCTTGTCGCTCGGCCAAGTGTCGAAACGCGTGTTTGTAATGCAGCGAAATGGACAATTGGATATCGCTCCTGGAGTTGTTGAGTTGAGTTGAGTCGTCCGTCGTCGTCGTCGTCGTCGGAATAGTGCTTTATACAGTTTTTTCATCGGGGACGACAGGCATGTGCGCAGCAGGCAGCATGCGGCCCTCCTCTTCGCCCCCTGTCGACAAAAACCATCCGAAGTGATCGCTTGGTGCCAGCGCATGATATGTACAGATCTTGCTGCAAAATGCGCGTTTTTTTTGCAGGGATGGTAGGGGGGGTGTTGTATTGGTTCTGGGTTTGACCCCTGTCGGGTGTGGGAGGGAGAATTTATCAAGAACGAGTGGTGATGTACCGCTCTCCCAAGGGGAAGAAATGGAGCATCTTGATTGGGAACCACTTTGAACCACCTCAGCCCCGAGGGCTGGTAGGTTTTCACCTCAAGCAGTTGCCAGAATAGCTACCGACAACCTCTGAGATGCCGCCGTCTCGCCATCATTTTTCAGGTCGATTGGTCAAAGCATTCATTCAATCCAGCATTGAAGCACATGTCAGGCAACGCATCCGACATGCTTCTTTCTGGAACGGGTCCCATCGTTACAGCGTTCTCTGGATTTAGCTGTCCGAGCTCCGTATTCCCTTTGTGAACATGTCGGGGATTTCTAAGGCAGCGTGCCAGTAAACCAAACTTAGCGGGACATGTCCGAGCTGCATGGCAATATGGCGAGCGAGGGCGTATTGTTCGACAACCGCGTGTGATCGTTCGCGCTACTGGATGAAGGGCAACGGTTCCCTTTCCACGCATATGCCAGGCAGCATCAGTGTCGAGCCCATCGAGTCACAAGTCTCGGTAGCATTGAGCTTGGTCTGAGAGTTCGCGCTGGTTCCAGTAGCACTTCCATTGTTGGTTTCGTTGGTCCTCCCTCGTCATTGTTTTGCCCCCCTCATTCAGAATGGAGCTTTCGCCCAAGCGCGGCCGCACTTCTGGATCCAAACCCTTCCTCGTTGTTGCTGTCGCCCTCCGTTCAACTCCTCCCCGTCTCCCCGACCCTCCTTCTCCTCTTGCTCCTTCCGCCCCTCCTCCATCGCCCCCACCTCCTGCACCTACAGCCGCCTCCTCTTCCAAGTTACAAGAAGCCGACCTTCCCGATTACACAGCAAGCGACTGGTCAAATCCTACAATTGCTACTTGGGGGTCGAAGTGTTCTAGGCGGGCAGAGTTCAACGCAGTGGGACGGGATGAGTGGGAGGGTCTGGGTGTTAAATGTGGCGCGATTGCGCTTGGCTTGTGCCCCTCTCTCCCTTATACATTTCCCCATGCACAGCTGCTCAATCTGGACACTGCTCTTTTTTTTTTTTTTTGTTCTCTCTTTACAGCGGGCATTGCGCCCTCTCAGCGCACGCTCGTCGCTTTCGACCCGTCAGAAGGCACGGGACTCCACGCCCGATTCGCCATGGCTTGTCCAGCCGGAGCGCGCTCGGGGTTTCGAGCCGGCGCTCCCGCTGCCGTGCGCGCCTCGCTTTCGGAGGGGCGCGCTCCTCCCGCTGCTCGGAAGGATGGCGCTCTCTCGCCTCCGCGCGGGCCCTTTTTTGGGTGAATCCTGGACTTTCTTCTCGTCGCTGTCTCCTCTCGTCTTCCCCTTTTTGGGGCCTCCTCCCGGGCCTCCGCCGTCGCCGCCGCTGGATTCGCCTCGACCTCCTTGTGAGAACGCACCCCAGGAGAGGTCCGGTGAGCAGCGGCATCGGTGATTTTGGGTGTCCCCAAGACCTTCCTCGTCGCTGCCTCCCGCTTCCTCCTCGCTCCCCCTCGTCCCCATCCGTCTTCCCCCTGGTCCTCCTGCTCCGGCTGCTCCCGCTCCTGCTCCTCCTGCTGCGGTTCCGCCTCGTCGTCCTCCCTTGTCCCCCTCCTCCTCCTCCTCCTCCTCCTCCTCCTCCTCCTCCTCCTCCCGCTCCTCCTCCCGCTCCTCCTCCAGCTGATCTGGCTCTTCCTCAGCTAAAGTGCACAGCTCCCAATTGTCCGACTACGCATAACCGGATGGTGTCCTTTTGGGGGGGGGTCCAGGCCCCGCTGGCGGATCGAGAAAACACGACGCAATGGGAAGGCATGGGTGGGAGGGCTGGGATGGCAGATCTGGCTCGAGCGTTCCTAGCTTGCCTCGTCCTCTCTCCTCTCCCCCGCCCTCCGCTCGCTCGTGCTCCCCGTCCTCGTCGCCCGCTTCTCGCGCCCTCGCGCGCGCTCCCGCGCGCAGAAAGTAAACTCGAGCTCCACTGCATCGACCTGGGAGGACATAGACATGGACACGATCCTGGAGGAGGCCTCCTGCGACGGAGGGTCTTGAGCAAGGAAGGTAGACAGACGCGTAGGTCGGGTAGGGCAGGTGGGCATGTACAGGTGGGCTGGTAGGGGGGTAAGTCGGCATGCGGCCAGCAGGCAGTCAGGCAGGTACGCAGGCTGGCAGGCATGAGGAGGTGCGCGAAGGGTATGGACGAGGCGGAGGAAGATGAGGAGGAGGAGGAGGAGGAGGAGGAGGAGGAGGTGGAGGAGGAGGAGGAGGCGAAGGAGGAGGAGGAGGAGCAGGTATTGATCTGACCGCCAACACGGCCATACTTTGTGTATTGTGAATGAGTTCGGATTCGTCTCAAGCGAAAGCCCCGTTCGGGAAAGGGACCGCCCTCTTTCCATGCAGCCGTGGCACAAGTGTATATTAATGTTTCAAGATTGCAGAAGTCACAAGCGGGATCCCAATCTTGAAAAGAAATATGCGTTCCCTTCGTTATCAGTGTTAGAAGCTTTCAGGACGAGTGAGCATGAGCGCAGCGCTCAGGCGATAGCTACATGTTCAAACGGCCGCCGTCAATATTTGTATTAGGTTCTGCAAGCTTTTTCAGCGAATGTGCGAGGCGCTACGGCGAGCGCCACATTTTCAAATCGACCCGCCTTCCGTCCTTGTGGAGGGAGAGAGAGAGAGAGAGAGAGAGAGAGAGGGGGAGAAAGAGAGAGATGGAGAACAACAACAAAGAAACCGATACGCTTTCGACGAGGGGGAGCAGCTTGGTACTTTGCCGTTTCGGCTGGAGGCGCCGCTCTACCTGACTCGTCGTGCGCGTTGGCCACCGCGGAGCCATGGTGCTACGGGTCGTGGGGTTGGCCTTGGCGTGTTGCCTCACTTCTCGAACCCGAGAGCGGAAGAAGAACAAGCATGCGTGAACATAATGAATATTCGGAGCTCCGCGAGGACGTCTCGGATCGGCCCTTGGCCGCCGTCTTGGCGCGCGGGGCTCGCCAGCGGCGGCGCTGGGGGCGCCGTCCGGGGGTGCCCAGCGCCGATCCGAGAGATCCGCGCGTGCAGAGATCCGCGCGTGCGGAGATCCGCGCGCGAGAGATCCGAGGAGGAGGAGGAGGAGGAGGAGGAGGAGGAGGAGGAGGAGGAGGAGGAGGAGAGATCTCGCGGAGCTCCGAATACTTCTCATGCTCGTGCTTCTGATTCCTCTTCCGGAGAGGCGGGTGGCGCCGATGTTTCCTCCGGGGAGGAGGGTGACATCGGCGACGACGGGCGGGCTCCGGGCGCGCGGGGGCGCGCACCCCTCCGCGAAGCCGGGGGCAGCCGGGACCACAGGGACGAGGGTCCAGTCTCCCATCACCACTGCCAAAAGTAGGACGGGGGAGAAGGGAGGATGGGGAGCTCCTCCTCCTCCGCCTCCGCCTCCGCCTCCTCCTCCTCCTCCTCCTCCTCCTCCTCCTCCTCCTCCTCCTCCCTGTCCTGCCTATGGTAGTGGCGGCGGAACATCGGCCCGTCAAGGGAGGCGATGCGCGCCCGCTGCCAGCACTGGTGGGCCCCTCGGGGGGGCCTGGATCGGGGGCCCCTGGCGGCAGAGCTGCGGTACAGGGCCCTCGGTCCCTTGGGCCCTGGATCTCTCTTGGGCCCTCGATCTCTTGGGCCCTCGATCTCCTGGAGGAATATTCAAATACATATATGTATGTGTATATATATATACATATATACTTTAGATTTCGTAATAAAAGGGAGGGGGTCTGGACCATCCAAGACAAGCCATTTCAGACCTCCCCCGTGGGAGAACCCTCCAAAACATCGTCCCCAGACCCCCCCAGGCCCTCCAAGATAGCCTGGAAGAGACCCCCCCCGAAATGAGACCCCCTCCCTTTTACTACGAAATCTGGAGTATACATATATATATATATATATATATAGATATATATAGATATAAACACAAAATAGTACCTATTCCCTCTACATGAGGAATGTTCAAAAATAGTAGACACATAGTCAGGGGACTACTTTTGGAGTCTTTCTGTTGACCATTTGGGAGTATTGTTTGCATATTTTTTATTTTTCGTCGAAAATCCCCCTGCAGGGGGACACGCCCGACTTCATCCTGGGCCCTGGATCCTGGGCCCTCGACGATGGGCCCTCGATGCGCGACCCTGGGATCCTGGGCCCTCGCCCCTGGGCCCTCCATCTCTTGGGCCCCTGATATCCTGGGCCCTCGCCCCTGGGCCCCTCGATGCTTCCTGCCCGTGGGGAGAGGCCCAGCGCCCGAATCCGGTGCCGAGTGCTGCACCAGGCGGAGGCCCGGTGGTCGAGAATCGGCGATGGGGGGTCCAGATGCCAGGTGCGAGGTTCGAGGATGGGCGTTCGAGGATCGAGGTCTGGGTTTCCACCAGCATCCAGGATCGGGGATCCAGTCTCGATCGGCGGCGAGCGAGGGGGGGCAACGAGAAGGAGAAGGGCTTATCAGAAGGCGGCGGGACTTCTCAGAAGCCCTCGCGCCTCCCGAGAGGTTTCTGCCGTCCTCGGGGAAGGCTTGGAACACTTCTCAGAAGGCCGGGGGGCTTCCGAGCCTTCGGAGAAGGCCTTCTCCTTCTCGCTTCCCCCCCTTGCTCGCCGCCGACTCGAGGATCGGCCGCCCGCGAGCGCATGATCTGTGAATGCCGTGCCCTCGCACCGCCGCAGCAGGCCCCTGGCCCCCTGAGCGCCGAGCCGCCGAGGCCAGTTCCAGGCTCGCCACGGGGCTTCGGGAGCGCTGCTTCTTGCCTTCACGAGCGGCACTCGCCGGGCTGAAAGCGCGACCAACCACCGCGTGGGGTCCCAGATCCAGGATGGAGGCTCGAGGGTCGAGGCGCTCGAGGGTCGAGGCGCAAGGGTCGAGGATCCAGAATGTCCTCGGGGGTCGAGGATCGAGGCTCCAGGTTCGTGGGTCTGGGTTCCAGGCTCCAGCCTCACGGTCCGAGGATCGACGCCGTTAGGTGATCGGGGCTCGAGGATCGAGGTTCGAGGATCCAGAGTTTCGCCCGACCCGAGGAGGAGGAGGAGGAGGAGGAGGAGGAGGAGGAGGAGGAGGAGGAGGAAGAGGAGGCGGAGGCGGAGGCGAGGCGGAGGCGGAGGGCGGAGGCGGAGGGCGGGGAGGAGGAGGAGAGGAGGATGAGGAGGAGAGAGGAGGAGGAGGGGAGGAGGGCTGGAGGAGGAGCGATTAGGACGAGGATTGGGCGGCGGAGCGGAGGAGGAGGGGCCTTCCGCGGCTAGTTCGTCCTTTCCTGCCTGCATCCTCCTCCTCGTCCTCTTCTCTCCTGCTCCTCCCCTCCGCTCCTCCTCCTTCTCCTCCGTCCTCCCCTCCTCCTCCTCCTCCTCCTCCTCCTCCTCCTCCCCTCCTCTCCTCCGCCTCCCCCTCCTCCCCTCCTCCTCCTCCTCCTCCTCGTCATCATCGCTCCTCCTCCTCCTTCTCCTCCAGCCTCCTCCTCCCTCCTCCTCCTCCTCCTCCTCCTCCTCTCCTCCTCCTCCTCCTCCTCCTCCTCCTCCTCCTCCTCCTCCTCCTCCTCCTCCTCTCCTCCTCCTCCTCCTCCTCCTCCTCCTCCTCCTCCTCCTCCTCCCCCTCCTCCTCCTCCTGGTCTGGTCCGTTCCGCACATGGGGCCCGAGGATCGAGGACCCAGGCTCCAGGTTCGAGGATCGGGGATCGTGGATCCGGACTTTAGATTCGAGGATCGGGGATCGAGGATCCGGGCTCCGGGTTCGAGGATCGGGGATCGAGGATCCGGGCTCCAGATTCGAAGATCGGGGATCGAGGTTCTGGGCTCAAGGTTCGAGGATCGGGGATCAAGGAACGAAGCTCCCAGTTCGCCAACCAGGATTGGGAGGTGGGAACCTTCAGGCCGCCCGACGGCGCCAGAGAGCATTGGATTCTGAAGGGTCAGGCCCCGCGTCGGCAAGGCGTCGGGGCCGCAGATGCCGATCTGTCTCTGCGCCGACATCGCCCATAGTTACTCGGCGGTGCAGCGCGATCCTCCGAACCCATCTGCTCGGACCCCGCTTGGGAGGCCTCCAGTCCCTGAGGCCTCAGGCTGCCCCAAAGACTGCGATGCGCGGGAGGTGCAACTTCTGGGGGTGTCCTTCTACGGCGTGGTGGACTTCTTCCACGGCCAGGGGCGGCCGGGCACGCCCCAGATCTTCGACGCCGCCGCCAGGTGCGTGGCCCTGGAGAGGAGGGCCCTCGCAAGGAGAGGCACGGCGGCGGAGGAGAAGGCTGAGTCCCTGAAGCGCGAACTGAGCTGCTGGCGAAATCTATCTCGGGGAACCAAAATCAGCCACGCGCAGAAGGGGGTGGAGGGAGGGGGAGGGCTTCTTAGAAGCACCCCTGCTTCTTAGAAGGCGCGGGCCTCATCTAACGATGTGAGGCCGGCGCCTTCTAAGAAGCAGCTTGCTTCTAAGAAGCCCTCCCCCCTCCCCCCACCCCCTTGTGCGCGCCGCCAACAAAAGTCACATACACATAAAAACTCGGAGGTCCGCGCGGATTTCTCGGATCGGCGCTGGACCCCCCTTCCTGGCGCGCGGAGCGCGCCAGGGGCGGCGCCGGAGGCGCCGCCGGGGGGCCCTAGCGCCGATCCGGGAAATCCGCGCGGACCTCCGAGTTTTTATGTTTCGGGCACTTTCGGCTCCCCTACTATCATCGCAGGCAGCGAAGGTCACTTCGACGTCATCCTTGCAAGTACCCGGCGGATCGCGCGTGTCTCTCCAGTCCTTCTGGCAATCAAAAGCGCTTGAGATCCTCAGAGACCACACTGCGTTGTCCTCAGTAGGTGCACTCTGGTATAGATCATGGCGGTTGGGCGTTCTCAACAGCACCAATATTGATAAGCACGTGAAGCTTGCCAAGAAGGGACTGGGAGATCCGGCATTTCGTTGCCGGAGTCGTTGGTGGCATGCATTCGACAAACGACATGAGTTTTTGTCAACCAGCTTGTGGAAGCGATATGCGGAGCTACTCGTTGCCATGCAGGGTATGGGAGCCTCAGGAATCGTTGATACCTTTCATATTGCGTCAACTTTGCATGACAATGAGCAGAAGTGGCAGACACCCCAGGCTGTGCATGCACAATTACCTGGCTTGAGGGCCATCCCTTTTTGGGACAAGCGCCAATTTCCCTGGCTGCGTAAACTTGAGGAGAGGTTCTCTGAGGTGCAACGCGAACTGCTCAGTGCGATCAAGACAACAGGTCTCATTCGCAATCCAGATGATTTTTTACACCAGAAAATAAACGATTGGGAGTTTCTTGCATTGTTGCTGAACGGGAAGTGGAACGATCGCGTGTGCCAGCAGCTGACTCCTGTCACCTGTGGCCTGCTCCGACATAGAGCAGAGTTTGGTGCTGAGGGCATACGGATTCCAGACATGGTCCAGACGGCGATGGCCGAGGGAGATTTCGAGCTCAAGGCACCCGTCGCCATGGTCAAGGTCTACGCTCTCCGGCCCGGTGCATGGCTGAGGCCACACTTTGGCAGCCACGGCAGGCTGGCCGCGCACCTCGGGCTGGTTGTGCCAGAGGGCTGTTGCTCCTTGACCGTTGGTGGCCAGAAGACTACCTGGGAAGAGGGGAAGGCAATCGTGTTTGACGACGCCTTCGTCCATGAGGCCCGAAATGTTGGAGACAGGTCGCGCCTGGTGCTGGGAATGTTCTTCGTGCATCCAGATCTGCAAGACCCTGGTGCCCAGCATTCGGAGTTGTGATCGCAGTTCAGTGCAGGACGTGGAAGGAGGAGCGGAAGAAGAGAAGAAATGGGTACAGTTGGCATGGGGGGCAGGAGGAGGGGGAGTATCGAGAGGGGTAGCAGGAGAGAGAAATTGAGCCGCGACGGCCCACGCTCGTTCGCACTTGCGCAGCCGTTCGCGCGACCGCGCCAGACTGCCAAACAACCAGACCTCATGGTGGTCACGTCGTTCGATCAGTCGTGCCACTCCCCGTGGTTGTTTATATTCGCGTTCCCCTGATTGATGGCGCACACTCCCACTCCTCCTGGTCGTCGTGCTCCTCCTCCTCCTCCCTCCCTCCCTCCCTCGCTCCCTCCCACCCTCCCTCCCTCCCTCCCTCCCCCCCTCCCTCCCTCCCTCCCTCCCTCCTCCTCCTCCTCCTCCTCCTCCTCCTCCTCCTCCTCCTCCTCCTCCTCCTCCTCCTCCTCCCCCTGCTCCTCCTCCTCCTCCTCCTCCTCCTCCTCACCACCACCACCACCACTGCTCTTCAGAGGCTTACCTGGCCTCGGCCTTGCGAATGGGGGCCGCCGTTGCCGCAGGCTGCACCCAGGGTCGAGGAGCTGGATCAGGAAAGTGCGCACCGATGGGCCTGGGGATTGACACAAGCTTTAAGTCGGGCCTGTCCCTCTATAGGAGGAATAGTCAAACATAGTCGAACATATTCGGGAGACTATTTTTTCACTATTTTTGACTATGTTGCGGAATTCTTTGACTATCTTTAATTTGTCGTTTAAAATCTGTTTGTAGGGGGACGCGCCCGACTTAAAGCTAGATTCGGCGGCAACCGAGGGGGGAAGTGAGAAGGGGCGGGCCTTCCCAGAAGGCTCGGAAGTCCCCCAGCCTTCTCAGAAGTGTCCTAAGCATGTCCCGAAGACATAACACACTTCTTAGAAGGAGCTGGGGCTTCTGAGAAGTCCCGCCGCCTTCCGAGAAGGCCTTCTCTTTCTCACTTCCCCCCTTCGCTCGCTGCCGATAGATAGCTCATTCACGTCTCTCCCTAACGGCTAGGGGTATCAGGACAGCGTCCTGATCCTTCGACGGACCGCGCTCGGCCAGCCCAGCGCCACCCACATCCGCGCGCCGACGCGAGCAGAGACTTCAGACGCAAGAGAGCACGCTGAGGAAGAGGAGTTCGAGGAGGATGCGGAGGAGTTCGAGGAGGAGGCGGAGGAGGAGGAGGAGGAGGAGGAGAGAGAAGCGAGGAGTGAAGCGAGGAGTGAAACGCAGGGGCAGGAAGACAAACGGTGAGTCGGAGGAGGAAGGCGCAGCTGGTGCAGGGCGCGGAAGCGACTGCAGCCGAAGAGGCCGCAGCCAGAGTCGTCCTCAGGGCTTGCGCCACGGGCCACAGGCAAACCGATGATGGCGAGCAGGACAATTGCCCGCGCAAAGCGACAGCGCGCCAACAGGCCACAGAGAACCATTACAACCAGGGCGCGCAGAAGCAACGTATGCAATAGAGGCATGATGAAGAGGAGGAAGGAGGAGGAGAAGGCGGATGAGGAGGAGGAGGAGGACGGGGAGGAGGAGGAGGAGGAGGAGGAGGAGGAGGAGGAGGAGGAGGAAGAGCAAGATCAAGCGCAAAAGGACGAGGGAGAGGAGGAGTCGGAGGAGGAGGAGGAGAGAACGGGAGATTGTGGAGTCGCAGGGGTTCAAAAGCGCGCGCGCGAGGCTTTCGCGCTGAGTTCGCGGCTGTTTCTGTGCAAAATCTGCTCTGTGTCGTCCTCTTCCCCCTCCTCCTCCGCCTCCTCCTCCCCCCCCTCCTCCTCCTCCTCCTCCTCCTCCTCCTCCTCCTCCTCCCTCTCCTCCATCTCTGCCTTTTTTCTTCTGGTGTCCCCCCCCAAAAAATAATTGTTGTTGTTGATGTGTTTTGTTCTTTTTTGGAGAAGGGGGGGGGGGGGGGTCGGCGGCGAAAAAAGGAATGCGACGTGGCCACATCTGCCCTCCCCCTAGAAGGATTCCTATTGAACGCCCCCACAAGAAGGATTCACAGTGAAATCCTCGACAGGAGGGTTCCTATCGAAACCCTCCACTGAATGATTCCTACTGAAATCCTCCACATGTGGATTCCTACTGAAACCATCCACTGAATGATTCCTACTGAAATTCTCGAATGGCAATGGCAATGGCAGTGGCAATGGTAATGGTAATGGTAATGGGAATGACAGTGGTAATGGTAATGGTACTGGTAATGGTAATTGTAACGGTAATGGTAGTGGTAACGGGGTAGCGATTGGCAATGCCAATGACAATGGCAATGGCAACGGTAATGGTAATGGCAATTGCAAAGGCAATGGCAGAAAGAATGGCAATGACAATGGCAATGGCAATGGTAATGGTCATGGCAAAGGTAATGGTAATGGTACTGGTACTGGTAATGGTACTGGTAATGGTAATTGTAATGGGAATGGGAGTGGGAAAGGGAAATGCAACGGGAACGGGAATGGAAATGATAGTGGTAGTAGTAATGAGAGGTACTGGTCATGTCACTGGTAATGGTCATGGTACTGGTAACTGTAATGGTAATGGCAATGGTAATGGGAATGGGAATGATAATGGGAATTGGAATGGTAATGGCAGCGGTAATGGTAATGGTAATGGTAATGGTAATGCTAATGCCAATGGTAATGGCAATGGCAATGACAATGGCAATGGTAATGGTAGTGGTAATGGTAATGGTATTGGTAATGGTAGTGGCTAATGGCAATGGCAATGACAATGGTAATGGCACTGGTAATGACAGAGGTAATGGTCATGGTATTGGTAATGGTAATGGTAACAGTAATGGTAATGGTAACGGGGTAGCGATTGGCAATGGCAATGACAATGACAATGGCAACGGTAATGGTAATGGCAATGGCAATGGGGTTGGCAATGGCAATGGCAATGGCAATGGGGTTGGCAATGGCAATGGCAACGGCAATGGTAATGGCAATGGCAATGGCAATGGGATTGGCAATGGCAATGGCAATGGCAATGGTAATGGCCATTGCAATGGCAACGGCAACGGTAATTGTAATGGTAATGGTACTGGAAATGGGAATGGAAACGGGAATAGGAATGTAAATGGGAATGGGGATGGGAATGGGAACGGGAACGGGAATGGAAATGGTAGTGGTAGTGGTAACGGAAATGGGAATGATAAGGGTAAGGGTAAAGGTAAAGGTAGAGGTAAAGGTAATGGTAATGGAAACGGGAATGGTAATGGTATTGGGAATGGGAATGGGAATGGGAATGGAAATGATACTGGCAATGGTAATGGTAGTGGCTAATGGCAATGGCGATGGCAATGCGAATGGTAATGGTATTGACAGAGGTAATGGTAATGGTACTGGTAACGGTAACGGTAATGGTAATGGTAATGGTAACGGGGTAGCGATTGGCAATGACAATGGCAACGGTAATGGCAATGAGATTGGCAATGGCAATGGTAATGGCCATGGCAATGGCAATGGGAATGGGAATGGGAACGGGAACGGGAATGGATATGGTAGTGGTAATGTTCACGAAAATGGGAATGATAAGGGTAAGGGTAAAGGTAATGGTAGAGGTAAAGGTAATGGTAATGGTAATGGTAATGGTAATGGCAATGGTAATGGTAATGGCAATGGCGATGGCAGTGGTAATGGTAATGGTATTGGAAATGGTAATGGTAATGGTATTGGGAATAGGAATGGGAGTGGTAATGGTCTTCGCAATGGTAATGGTAGTGGCGAATGGCAATGGCAATGGCAATGGTAATGGTATTGGTAATGACAGTGGTAATGGTAATGGTAATGGTACTTGGAATGATAATGGTGACGGTATCGGTAATGGTAATGTTAATGGCAGCGGTAACGGGGTAGCATTTGGCAATGGCAATGACAATGGCGATGGCAACGGTAATGGTGATGATAATGGCAATGGCAATTGTACTGGTACTGGCAATGACAATGGCAATGGCAATGGCCATGGTAATGATAATGGCAATGGCAATGGCAATGGCAATGGCAATGGCAATGGTAATGGTAATGGTAATGGAGATGGGAATGGGAATGGGAATGGGAATCGTAATGGTAATTGGAACGGGAACGGGAATGGAAATGGTGGTGGTAGTGGTAATGATAATGGCAATGGTAATGGTAATGGTACTGGTAATGGTAATGGTAATGGTACTGGCACTTTTAACGGTAGTGGTAATGGCAATGGTGATGGGAATGGGGATTGTAATGGTAATGGCAGCGGTAATGGTAATGGTATTGGTAATGGTAATGGTAATGGCAATGGTTTTGGTAATGCTAATGGTAATGGCAATGGTAATGGTAGTGGCTAATGGTAATGGCAATGGCAATGGCAATGGTAATGACAGTGGTAATGGTAATGGTACTGGTAATGGTAATGGTAATGGTAACGGTAATGGTAATGGTAATGGTAACGGGGTAGCGACTGGCAATTGCAATACAATGGCAATGGCAACGGTAATGATAGTGGCAATGGCAGTGGGAATGGCAATGGCAATGGCAATTGTAATGGCCAAGGTAATGGTGATGGTAATGGTAATGGTAAAGGTAAAGGTAATGGTAATGGTAATGGTAATGTTAATGTGAATGGGAATGGGAATGGGCATGGGGATGGGAATGGAAATCGTGGTGGTAGTGGTAACGGAAATGGGAATTATAAGGGAAAGGGTACAGGTAAAGGCAAAGGTAAAGGTAATGGTAATGGTAATGGCAATGGCAATGGCAATGGTAATGGTAATGATAATGATAATGGTAATGGTAATGGTAATGGTAATGGTAATGGTAATGGCATTGGGACTGGCAATGGGAATGGCAATGGCAATGACAATGGCTATTGGAATGGCCATGGTAATGCTAATGGTAATGGTAATGGTAATGGTAATGGTAAAGGTAATGGTATTGGGAACGGGAACGGGAATGGGAATGGGAATGGGAATGGACTGGCAATGGCAATTGTACTGGTGCTGGCAATGGCAATGGTAG